TTTTTTTTTTTTTTTTTTTTTTTTTTTTTTTTTTATGCTTATTTTTAGCATGCGAGAAGTCAGAAACGACGTCGCTCCCGTTCGCCAACTGATAAGCGAAGAAGGACTCAAGCTGATGCTTCTGATGGTATGTGACCAAACAAGAATGTAGTTTCTTTTTTGTTTGAGGTCGAGAAATCCGGCTTTTGAGGAATTTGCTTTTAACTAAACGCTGATTTTTAGCTCATCCATGCACTGATATTTTTGAGGGGTTGAAGGGGAGTGGGGGGTTGGGTGATTTACTGCACTTGTAGCATATCATCGTCCCGTTATTGGCTGCATGCCAATAATCCGACCGAATGCAGATGCGCCCAGAAACCATTTAAATACTGTCAAACTTATTGCGTTTCATACAGAATTTTTCTTTTGAAGGAGAAATTGTGTCATCAGCCTACTGGTGGTGATCCTGGCCACACTGTTCCGGAGCCAGCTATGGAAATTATCATACTTCCTTCATAGTTTCTCCCTCATTTCTCTTGAACACGATCCTTTTTGGCTTCGTAACAGCTATACCGAAAGTGTAGTTGTAAAATACCAATCTCCAAATTTGCAATATTCAGAGCTACACCAGCAAATGACAGTGTATTTCTCGCTTCTGCATCTTAAGGACAAAAAATTGATAAAGAATATTTTTGGTGGTTGAATTAAGTCCGCTTGTTTTGCGCTGAACTTTTACAGATTCATCGATCTGTAATAGAAATTTAAGCGAAAACGAGAGAATTAAATGGTTATAAAAAATGAGCCGGCCGAGTGCAGATGCGCCCAGGAACTTTTTAAATACTGCTAGACTTTTTCTGTTTCATGCAGAACAAAAATTTACACAGGCAGACCTCAACCTGAACTGGCAAGAGAAAGGAGAGAAAAACTTTGATACTTCGATCAGCTGTTGTTTTAGCGTTTGCTTTTTTTGCCTTTAATGTATCTGCCACTCTCCATATTTTTTTCTGTTTTTAACGTCTCTCATCCACATAGGAGGAGAAATATAAGCACGGGAGAAGTGACAGAGTTAGTATGAAATCACTTCACTGGGAAATGTTTAGGGGCATCACAAAAAAGTGGAAAGCATGGGAATGGCGAGCTGCTTGACACAAAGCCTGCCGAAAAAGCTGCAAAGCCAGTCAAGAAGGAGCCGACTGCACGTGATCTCGAAATCGCTCGACTTTTGAAGGAGGAGGAAGAGCATCCAGAATTAGCTGAAATGGACAGTGAGGCGGTGTGGTCGTTGAAGAAAGCACAAATTGAGATGCCTAGTCGCCAATGTCCATATTTGGACACCATTGATCGGTTGATTTGCCTTTTTTCGATTGTAATTAGTATCCAGGCAACGTGATCAGTTTTCAGACAACGTACTGTGCTTAAAGATTTCCACAAGAATGATTTTTAGGTCATCCCAGTAGCAAGGCTTTGGTGTAGTGGAAGTCGACGCGATCATCTTACTTTTTGGGCGAGAGCTTGCACAAATCATCACAGAATTAAGCCTGAGAGTAGCTACCTGTTAACCACTGCAAATATCATGAATGCAGAATATCCTGTTGACATTGTGCGCATATGATCACGCTGGCTTTTGACTCATTTTTCAAAGAAAATGTTGGGGGGGGG